TTAGGGCCCCTGGATTGACTGAAATAGCTAAGAAATGGGCAAAATAGCCCCTAGATTGACCAAAGTAGCCCCCCAAAATGACTGAAATAGCCACCAAATGACTGAAATAGTCCCTGAAATTTCTGAAATAGCCCCAAAATAACCCCTAAAAGGACTGAAATAGTATGAGGAATGATTGAAATGGCCCCAAAATTGAGTAAAATAGCCCCCAAAGTTCCTGAAATAGGCCCAAAATGACCAGAATAGCCCTGGAAGTGGCCCCAAAAAGACAACTAGCCCCCAGATGGCTGAAATTGTCCTTAAAATGAGTGAAATTGCCCCAATCTGCTCCGATTTAACTCAAATCCTCTGACAGTGGCTCCTCTCTCCCCCACCCCCACGCGTGATGCAGCTCCTGGTGACAACCAACGCATTTGGTGATGTCTGAAGGTATCTGGTGACATCCAACAACAATCTGGTGACATCTGGTGTCCCAGTGACGTCCAGCCATGGTTTGGTGACATCCAACAACGTCCCAGTGACATCCAGCCATGGTTTGGTGACATCCAGCAGCATCCCAGTGACGTCCAACCATGGTTTGGTGACATCCAACAGCGTCCCAGTGACGTCCAGCCATGGTTTTGGTGACATCCAAGTGTTCCGGTGACGTCCAGCCATGGTTTGGTGACATCCAGCAGCGTTTTGGTGATGTCCAGCATGGTTTGGTGACATCCAACAGCGTTCCGGTGACGTCCAACCATGGTTTGGTGACATCCAACAGCGTTCCGGTGACATCCAGCAGTGTTTTTGGTGATGTCCAACCATGGTTTGTGACATCCAGCAGCATCCCAGTGACGTCCAACCATGGTTTGGTGACATCCAGTCGCACTCCGGTGATGTCCAACTATGGTTTGGGGACATCCAGCAGTGTTTCAGTGATGTTCAACATGGTTTGATGACATCCAACAGCGTTCCAGTGACATCTAAACATGGTTTGGTGACATCCAACAGCATTCCGGTGACGTCCAACCATGGTTTGGTGACACCCATCAACATTCTGGCAACATCCCAGCGGCATCCTGGTGACAGCCAACATGTGCTGGTGACAACCACCGTGGTTTGGTGACAACCAAAGACATGTGGTGACAGCCCACAGCGTTTTGGTGACATCCGATGCAGTCCGGTGACATCCAGCAGTGATTTGGTGGCATCTCCAAGACGTTTTGGTGACAACCAATGGTGCCACCGGGGCTGTTCCCGGCGTTCCCACTCGGGGTTTGATCCGGAAAAACTCCACAAAGCGACACCAAACCGGCTGCTTTTGTAATAAAACCAGAGAAACAGTGGTGGGGGCTTCTCCGAGGGCTCGTATTGAGGTTGTGACACCCGGGGGTTTGGGGTCAGTGAGTCCCATGTAGGTGCTTGCGTGGGGCTTCTCTAAGGGCTTATACTGAGGTTGTGCCCCCTGGTTTTGGGGTGAATACAGTCCCATTTAGGTGCTGGAATGGGGATTCTCCAGGTGCTTGTATTGGGCTTGTGCTCCCTGATTTAGGGGGTGAAATAAGTCCCATTTAGTTGCTTGGATGGGGCTTCTCTGGGGGCTCATACTGAGGTTGTGCCCTTCTGCATCTGGGGGTGAATATGTCCATTTAGGTGCTTGGATGGGGCTTCTCCAGGAGCTTGTATTGGGGTTGTGCCCCTGTAAGCTTGGAGGTCAGTGAGTCCCATTTAGGTGCTTGGATGGGGCTTCTCCAAGGCTCAAACTGAGGTTGTCCCCGCCACCCCGATTTTGGGATGAATTAAGTCCCATTTAGGTGCTTTAATGGAGCTTCTCAGGGCTTGTATTGGAGTTGTGCCCCCTTGATTTTGGGGAGAAATAAGTCACATTTAGGTGCTTTAATGGGGCTTCTCCAGGGGCTTGTACTGGGTTGTGCCCCCTGATTTGGGGGTGAAATAAGTCCCATTTAGGTGGTTGGATGGGGCATCTCCAGGGCTTGTATTGGGGTTGTGCCCCCTTGATTTTGGGGGGAAATAAGTCCCACTTAAGTGCTGGGATGGGCTTCTCTGAGGGTTTATACAGTGATTACGCTGCCACTCTCTGTATTTGGGGTGAATTAAGTCCAATTTAGGTGCTGGGGTGCAGCTTCTCTGAGGGCTCGTACTGAGATTGTGCCCCCCCTTCCTCTGCTGTGTCTTTGGGGTGCAACCCACCCAGTTTGGGGTTTCCTTCCCCCTCCGTCAGCCCCATTCTGAGCAAGCTCAATCCCTTCCATGGCTTTTATTGTGCAGCAAAATCACCCGAATTAGGGCAAAGGCCAAAAGGGGCGGGGGGGGGGGCTTTGGCCTCATTTGGTGTCAAACCCCAGCGTTGGGATGAATAAATAGCGTCGGGTGCGGGATGATGCACCCGGGGTCCGGTGCCAGGGCCCATCCTGGTCCCCTTCAGGCGCTGTCCTTGGTGCTGGGGCTGCTCAGGGGGATGGTGACCTCCTTGTCCTTGAGGTGTCCGGCTCTGGGGTACCAGGGGGAGAGAAAGCCCCCAAACCTTCAGGGTTTGAACCCAAAACCTTCATCCCTCCAACCCTGAGACCTCCCACCCTTCCTCACCTCAACGCCTTTGTCCCTTCCCATCCTAACCCTTTGTCCTTCCCAACCCCAAACCTTTAGGGATGGATGGGTAATGGATGGGTTGGAGCTTGGGGTCCTCCCAAGGCTCAGTGGGGTTTGGGTTGCGTCAATGGGGCTTAAGTGGGTCAATGGGGTCTCATCCCCCCCCCACTCCCCCAACCTCTTTGCCCCCATCTCGGGGGGTTCCGTCCTCACAGCCCCATGGTGGTGACCCAGGCCCCAGTGGTTCCTCACCGCATCTCCACATCCGCCACGGTCTCTGGTAGGGGCAGGCTCCGGGTCTCGGGTAGGAAGTGAGTGGCCACGGCCGACACAATGGGGGCAGCCCCATAGATGAGCAGGGGCAGGAGCGGGCTCACGTCAGCCGCCATGCGCACGAGAGGGGCCACCATGCCCCCGACACGAGCCATGGTGCCCCCCAGGCCCAGCCCAGTCTGCCTGTGCACCAGGAGACAGGGGGATGGAGGATGGGGGTCAGTGATGGAGGAGGGAGGGATGGAGGGGTTGATTGGGGTTGGATGGATGGAAGGATTGGGGGTTGGATGAAGAAGTGGTTGGATGGAGCAGTTGAGTGATCGATGGAGAGGTGGATGGGTGGATGGAGGGGTGGATGGATGGTTGGAGAGGTGGATGGATGGATGGAGAGGTGGTTGGGTGGGTGGATGGATGGATGGATGGATAAGGGAATGATGGATGGATGGATGGATGGATGGATGGATGGATGGATGGATGGATATATGGATATATGGATGGATGGATGGAGGATAAGGGATGATGGATGGATGGATGGATGGATGGATGGATGGATGGATGGATGGATGGATGGATGATGGATAATGGATGGATGATGGATGGATGGATGGATGATGGATAAGGGATGATGGATGGATGAAGGATGGATGATGGATAAATGGATGGATGTTGAATGGATGGATGGGTGGATGGATGGATGGATGGATGGATGGATGGATGGATGGATGGATGGATGTTGGATGGATGGATGATGGATAATGGATGGATGTTGGATGGATGGATGGATGGATGGATGGATGGATGGAGGTGGATGGATGAATGGATGACAGATGATGGCTGCTGCCTGACCGCTGGTGGTCGGTCTGCGGTGCCCCCAGCCCTGCAGGTGTCCGCACCCACCTGATGACGGTGGGGAAGAGCTCTCCGGTGTAGATGTAGGCGCAGTTGAAGACGCGGCCAAGGAGCCCTTCCCCAGCACAGCCAAGGCCATTCTCAGCACCCGCAGCTCTGCACGGGGGGAAGGTCTCAGCCTCCACCATGGGGAGTTCACCCTGGTCCTGCCTCTGCTGCCCCCAGCACCCCCATCCTTCCTTCACCTCCCCTGCAGCGCCAGCATCCACACATCACCCTCTATCCCTGCATCCCATCATCCCACCTCCATCTCGGCAGCCTCTGGTCCTCCAGCTTCTCTCTCTGCCCTTCTAACCCCATCCCATTATCCTCCATCCCATTGCCCCCATCCCATCATCCTCCATCCCATTGCCCCCATCCCATTGTCCCCACCCCATTGCTCTCCATCCCATTGCCCCCACCCCATTGCTCTCCATCCCATTGCCCCCATCCCATCATCCTCCATCCCATTGCCCCCATCCCATCATCATCCATCCCATTGTCCCCATCCCATTGTCCCCACCCCATTGCTCTCCATCCCATTGCCCCCATCCCATTGCTCTCCATCCCCTTGCTCTCCATCCCATTGCTCTCCATCCCATTGTCCCCACCCCATTGCTCTCCATCCCACTGTCCCTATCCCATTGCTCTCCATCCCATCGTCCTCCATCCCATTGTTCTCATCCCATTGTCCCCACCCCATTGCCCCCATCCCATCATCCTCCATCCCGTTGTCCCCACCCCATTGCACTCCATCCCATTGCTCTCCATCCCATTGTCCTCCATCCCATTGCTCTCCATCCCGTTGTTCCCATCCCATTGTCCCCACCCCATTGCCCCCATCCCATCATCCTCCATCCCGTTGTCCCCACCCCACTGCTCTCCATCCCATTGCTCTTCATCCCATTGCTCTCCATCCCATTGTCCTCATCCCATTCTCCTCCATCCCATTGCTCTCCATCCCATTGTCCCCATCCCATTGTCCCCATCCCATTGTCCTCCATCCCATTGCTCTCCATCCCATTGTCCCCATCCCATTGTCCTCTATCCCATTGCTCTCCATCCCATCATCCTCCATCCCATTGCCCCCATCCCATTGCTCTCCATCCCATTGCCCCCATCCCTCCCTCCCTCCCTCCCCACGCACCGCCAGGCACGGCGCTGTTGGCCAGGATGCAGACCCCAGCCAACGCCAAGGAGCCTCCTTGGGCCACCCTTCGCCCGAGGCCGCCGATGACCAAGGCCGACACCAGCTTGGCCGGGATGTCCACGGCACCGAAGAGCAGCTGGCTCAGGTACACATCCACCCCGAAGCCCTGCAGGTCCATGGCCAGCCCATAATAGGCAAAGCTGGTGGAGAACCTGCCCCAAACCCAATGGGCCGAAGCGTCATGGAATGGGATGGGTTGGGAGCAACCTTAAAGCTCATCCAGCTCCGAGCCCTGCCATGGGCAGGGATGGGTTCCATTAGACCAGGCTGCTCCAAGACACATCCAACCTGGCCTTGGGCACTGCATGGATGCACATGGATGCGCGTGGATGCGCGAGGATGTGCATGGATGTGCATGGATGCACATGATGCATGTGGATGTGCATGGATGCACATGATGCATGTGGATGCGCGTGGATATGCATGGATGTGCATGGATGCACGTGGATGTGCATGGATGTGCATGGATGCACATGGATTCACATGGATGCATGTGGATGTGCATGGATGCACATGATGCACGTGGATGCACATGGATATGCATGGATGCACATGATGAACGTGGATGCACGTGGATGTGCATGGATGCACATGATGCACGTGGATGTGCATGGATGCACATGGATGCACGTGGATGCGCATGGATGCGCATGATGCACATGGATGCACATGGATGTGCATGGATGCACATGATGCACATGGATGTGCATGGATGCACATGATGCACGTGGATGTGCATGGATGCACATGATGCACGTGGCTGTGCATGGATGCACATGCATGCACGTGGATGCACATGGATGCGCATGATGCACATGGATGCACATGGATGCACGTGGATGCGCATGGATGTACCTGGATGCACCTGGATGCGGCAGCTTCTCCATGGCAGTGTCCAACCACCCTAACCATGAAACTCACCGGGTGGGACAAAAGACCACCAAAACCATTGGGTTTGGCCTCAAAAACGTGGCGTTCGACCCCAAAAAGGTGCTTATAGCCCCAAAAAGGGGAGGTTTGCCCCCAAAAAGGTGGGTTCCCCCCCCCCCAAAAAAAGTGGGATTTGCCCCCAGGAAAGGGGGATTTCATCCCTCGAAGGTGGATTTTGCCCCAGGAAGATTGGGTTTGATGCCAAAAAGATGGGGTTTGTCCCCAGAATCGTGGGGTTTGCCCCCAAAAGGTGGGGTTTGCTCCAAGAAGAGGGATTTTGCCCCCCAAAAAGATGGAATTTGCCCCCAAAAACATGTAATTTGCCCCCAAAAGGTGGGGTTTGCTCCGAGAAGGGGGATTTTGCCCCCAAAAAGACGGAATTTGCCCCCCAGAAGGTGGGGTTTGCTCCAAGAATGGGGATTTTGCCCCCCAAAAAGATTGAATTTACCCAAAACGTGAGTTTTGCTCCAAGAAGGGGGGATTCTGCCCCCAAAAAGATGGAATTTACCCCCAAAACGTGAGGTTTGCACCAAGAAAGGGGATTCTGCCCCCGAAAAGATGGATTTTGCCCCCCAAAAGATGGAATTTACCCCCAAAACGTGAGGTTTGCTCCAAAAAGTGGGATTTTGCCCCCCCAAAATGGAATTTGCCCCCAGAAAGATGGAATTTGCCCCCAAAATGTGAGTTTTGCTCCAAGAAGCAGGATTTTGCCCCCAAAAAGATGGAATTTGCCCCAAAGAGGTGGTTTTTTGCCCCAATTCCCCCCCCCCCCCCCCCCCCCCCCAACTTGCCAGACAAAGGAGACTCCGCACGACACCGTCCTCATTCCCGGCGTCCGGAACAGCGCGGCCACGGCTCCCCCTGGCACCGGCGGCTCCTGGAGCCCCAGAGCCTGCAGTGCCTGTGGGGATCCATAGGGATCCATAGGGATCCACAGGGATCTGGGCCTTGGAAGTTGATGGGGAGCTGGGTACCGGGATATTGGAGGGGGGGGGGATCTGGGAGGGATCCAGGTGATGTGGAGAGGGTTGGATGGAGCGGGAGGGGGGATCGGAGGGATCAAGGTGGGATCAAAGGGGTCCTGGGGGGGATCCAGGTGATGTGGAGGGGATGGGAAGGATCATGGTGGGATCAAGGGGATCCAGGTGGGATCAGAGGGATCCAGGTGGGATCAGAGGGATCTAGATGGGATTAAAGGGATCTAGATGGGATGTAAGTGGTCCTAGGGGATGGATCCAGGTGATATGATGGGGATGGAAAGGATCCAGGTGGGATCAGAGGGATCCAGGTGGGATCAGAGGGATCTAGATGGGATTAAAGAGATCTAGATGGGATGTAAGTGGTCCTAGGGGATGGATCCCAGGTGATGTGGAGGGGATGGAAAGGATCCAGGTGGGATCAGAGGGATCCAGGTGGGATCAGAGGGATCTAGATGGGATTAAAGAGATCTAGATGGGATGTAAGTGGTCCTAGGGGATGGATCCAGGTGATGTGGAGGGGATGGGAAGGATCATGGTGGGATCAGAGGGATCTAGATGGGATCAGAGGGATCTGGGTGGGATCAGAGGGATCCAGGTGGGATCAGAGGGATCTAGATGGGATTAAAGGGATGTAGATGGGATTAAAGGGATGTAGATGGGATTAAAGGGATCCAGATGGGATTAAAGGGATCCAGATGGGATTAAAGGGATGTAGATGGGATTAAAGGGATCCAGATGGGATTAAAGGGATGTAGATGGGAGCTCACCTCCGGCTCCAGGCGCTCCCCCTCCTGCCTGCGGCCGTTGAGGCGGGCGACGCGGCGCAGCCCGGCCAGGGCCTGGTGGGGCCGCCCCACGCTGAGCTGCCAGCGAGCGGACTCCGGCAGCAGCCTGGGAGGGGGACAATGGGGTAACAATGGGGTAACAATGGGGTAACAATGGGATAATGGGGTAACAATGGGGTAACAATGGGGTAACAATAGGGTAACAATGGGGTAGAAGTGGGGTAACAATGGGGTAACAGTGGGGTGAGAATGGGGTAACAATGGGGTAACAGTGGGATTAACAATGGGGTAACAGTGGGGTAAAAATGGGGTAACAGTGGGGTCACAATGGGGTAACAATGGGGTTACAACGGGGTAACAATGGGATAACAATGGGGTAACAATGGGGTAACACTGGGACAATGGGGTAACAGTGGGGTAACAGTGGGGTGCCAATGAAGTAACAGTGGGGTGACAATGGGGTAACAATGGGTTTACAATGGGGTAACAACGGGGTAACAATGGGATAACAATGGGGTAACACTGGGACAATGGGGTAACAATGGGATAACAACAGGGTAACAATGGGGTAACAATGGGATAACAATGGGACAACAATGGGGTAACACTGGGACAATTGGGTAACAATGGGGTAACGGGGTAACAATGGGGTAATGGGGTAACAATGGGATAACAACGGGTAACAATGGGGTAACAGCGGGGCAACAATGGGGTAACAATGGGGTAACAATGGGGTAACGGGATAACAACGGGATAATGGGATACAGGGACATGGGGATAACAGGATAACAATGGGGTACAGGATAACAATGGGATAACGGGGTAACAATGGGATAATGTGATACAGAGACATGGGGATAACGGGATAACTATGGGATAACAGGATAACAATGGGATAACGGGCTACAGGGAGAATGGGGTAATGGGATAACAATGGGAAAGGGGATACAGAGACATGGGGATAACGGGATAACAATGGGATAATGGGATACAGGCACATGGGGATAATGGGACACAGGGGTAATGGGACGTGGGACACTGGGATAACAATGGGATAATGGGATAATGTGACGGGGGACAGTGGGATAACAGTGGGATAACGGGACACAGGGATAATGGGACATGGGATACTGGGATAATTGAATAACGGGATAACAGGACACAGGGATAATGGGACATGGGACACTGGGATAATGGGACACAGGGAAGCAAGGACAGCAGGATAATGGGAAACAGGGACACAGAGACACTGGGACACTGGGACACCAGGATAACGGGACACCAGGACACCAGGATAACGGGACACTGGGACACCAGGGTAACGGGGATACTGGGACACCAGGATAACAGGACACTGGGACACCAGGATAACAGGACACCGGGCACCAGGATAACGGGACACTAGGACACAGGGACACTGGGACACCAGGATAACGGGACACTGGGACACCAGGATAACGGGACACTGGGACACAGGGACACTGGGACACCAGGATAACGGGACACCAGGCACCAGGATAACGGGACACCGGGACACAGGGACACTGGGACACCAGGATAACGGGACATTGGGACACCAGGATAACGGGACATTGGGACACCAGGATAACGGGACACTGGGACACCAGGATAACGGGACATTGGGACACCAGGATAATGGGACACTAGGACACCAGGATAACGGGACACTGGGACACCAGGATAACGGGACACAGGGACACCAGGATAACGGGATACCGGGACACCAGGATAACAGGACACTGGGACACCAGGATAACGGGATACCGGGACACCAGGATGACGGGACACTGGGACACCAGGATAACAGGATACCAGGACACCAGGATAACGGGATACTGGGACACCAGGATAATGGGACACTGGGACACCAGGAGAACGGGATACTGGGACACCAGGATAACGGGACACTGGGACACAGGGACACTGGGACACCAGGATAATGGGACACTGGGGCACCAGGATAACGGGACACTGGGGCACCAGGATAACGGGACACTGGGACATAGGGACACTGGGACACCAGGATAACGGGACACCGGGACACCAGGATAATGGGACACTGGGACACAGGGACACTGGGACACCAGGATAATGGGACAGTGGGACACCAGGATAACGGGACACCGGGACACGGGGACACTGGGACACCAGGATAACGGGACACTGGGACACCAGGATAACGGGACACCGGGACATGGGGACACTGGGACACCAGGATAACGGGACAGTGGGACACCAGGAGAACAGGACACCAGGACACAGGGACACTGGGAAGCTCCCATACCAGGAGTAGAGGAAGAAGAGGCCGAAGGGCAGGGACACAGCGAGCTGCAGCCAGCGCCAGTGTGGGAGTGCGAAGGCCACGGCCGCCAGCAGGAACTGCCCCAAGGTGTAGCAGTAACCATTGATGGTGCCCACCACGGCCCGCGCCTCCGTCGGGATCCACTCCATGCCTACGGGCAGCAGAGGGCTCTATCCCATGGGAATAGCACCAGAGTGGGAGAGACGGGGCCCTCCCAAGGGTTAATGGGGTTTGGGTTGGAGTCAATAAAGCTTGAGGTGGGTCAATGGGGTTGGGTTGGAGCTTGGGACCCTCCTAAGGGTCAGTGGGGTTGGGTTGGGTAAATAGGGTTGGGTTGGAGCTTGGGGCCCTCCCAAGGGTCAATAGGGTTGGGTTGAGTCAATAGAGCTTGAGGTGGGTCAATGGGGTTGGGTTGGAGCTTGGGGACCTCCCAAGGGTCAGTGGGTTGGGGTCAATGGGGTTGGGTTGGAGCTTGGGGCCCTCCCAAGGGTCAATGGGGTTGGGTTGAGTCAATAGAGCTTGAGGTGGGTCAATGGGGTTGGGTTGGAGCTTGGGGCCCTCCCAAGGGGTCAATGGGGTTGGGTTGAGTCAATAGAGCTTGAGGTGGGTCAATGGGGTTGGGTTGGAGCTTGGAGCCTTCCCAAGGGTCAATGGGGTTGGGTTGGAGCTTGGGGCCCTCCCAAGGGTCAATGTGGTTTGGGTTGAGTCAACAGGGCTTGAGGTGGGTCAATGGGGTTGGGTTGGAGCTTGAGGCCCTCCCGGTAGTCAATGGGGGTAGGGTTGGGTCAATGGAGGCTGGGCTGGATCTTGGGACCCTCCCACTGGTCAATAGGGTTGGGTCAATGGGGGTAGGTTTCGGTCAATGGGGTTGGGTCAATGGGGTTGGGTTGGAGCTTGAGGCCCTGGTCAATGGGAGTAGGGTTGGGTCAATGGGGTCGGGTTGGAGCTGGGTCCCCTCCGTCCCCGGTGGCTCCATCCCAGCCCATGTCCCTGCTCACAGAGCGAGGAGGAGTTGAGGGACACCCCGGCCATGGCCAGGCCCGTCAGGAACCGGCCCAGGCAGTAGAGGAGCAGCGTCGGGGCAGCCGCGGTGCCCGGCACCCGTCACCCCCAGCTGCAGGTAGCACCAGGTCAGCACCGCCCGGCGCCCGAACCTGCCGGACACCGGTGTGGACGTGGGTGATGGGGACATGGGGATGGGGACGTTGAGTATGGGGACATGGGTGATGGGTACACTGGGATGGGGACATGGGTGATGGGGACACCGAGATGGGGAAATGGGTGATGGGGACACTGGGATGGGTGCACCAGGATGGGGACATGGGTGATGGGGACATGGGTGATGGGGACACTGGGATGGGGGCACCAGGATGGGGACACGGGTGATGGGGACATTGAGATGGAGACATGGGTGATGGGGGTGCCGGGATGGGGACACCAGGATGGGGACATGGGTGACAGGGACACCGGGTTGGGGACACTGGGATGGGGGCACCAGGATGGGGACATGGGTGATGGGGACATCGAGATGGAGACATGGGTGATGGGGACACCGAGATGGGGACACCGAGATGGGTACATGGGTGATGGGGATGTTGGGATGGGGACGTGAGTATGGGGACATGGGTGATGGGGACACCAAGATGGGGACATGGGTGACAGGGACACTGAGATGGGGACATGGGTGACAGGGACACTGGGGGATGCGGGCACCGGGATGGGGACACTGAGATGGGGACATGGGTGATGGGGACACCGAGATGGGGACATGGGTGATGGGGACACCAGGATGGGGATGCGAGTATGGGGACATGGGTGATGGGGACACCAGGATGTGGACAGGGGTGATGGGGACACTGGGATGAGGACACAAGTATGGAGACATGGGTAATGGGGACACAGGTGATGGGAACACTGGGATGGGACATCAGTGATGGGGATACTGACATGGGGACATGGGGCACTGGAGATGTTTGGATGGAGTTTGTGGGGTGGTGGAGATACGGGGATGGGGGACATGGGGTGATGAGGACACTGGGATGGGGGGACATAGGGTGATGAGGACACTGGGATGGGGGACATGGGGCACTGGAGGTGCTGGGACGGCGTTTGCGGACTGGTGGGACCACTGGGAAGGTGACACGAGGCATTTGGAACACTGGGATGGGGAATGTGGGCACTGGGAATACGGGCATGAGGGTCTTATTGACAGGAGGACAGAGGGGGACACCAGGGCCAAAGGGAGGAGAGGACACCCCTGAGCATGCACATCCCAGTTCCTCCCAGTTCCTCCCAGTACAGCCCAGTGGTGGCCACCTACTTATCAGAGAGGATCCCAAAGAGGCAGGAGCCCAAGAGGATCCCGGCCATGTAAATGGATTGAGCCACTTGCTTCAAGGTCTTGGACTCACACACCAGGTCCCCACTGCCACCAGGAGAGGACACGGGGGTCACCACCCAGCCCCATGGCTCCTCCCCACCTCCCCATCCCCTTGAGTGGGTGGAGGGGGAAGTGTGGGGGGGATGGGGGCGTCACCTCAGTCACGATGGTGTGAGCGAAGGCCCCGTCGCGATAGGTCCAACCGTCGCGACAGGGCTCGGTGGGCGCCGCGCTGCCGTTGGCCGTGCCGTTGGCCTCCAGGAGGTGCCATTGGGGCTCCACGTAGCGGCGGCAGCGCTGGGGCTGCCGGTGGCCGTCGGTGGGGATGGAGACGAGGACGGGGAGGCCCCCGGTGCTGCAGTGGTGGTCGGGGACGCCGGCGGTGAAGTTCTGCAGCAGGTTGTGGCTGGCCAAGAGGAGCAGCGGCACGGCCAACGCCGCCACGTAGCTCACCTGGGAAGCGACCCATCCCGCCCAGGCGGGCCAGCAGCGCGGCGAAGGACATGGTGGGATGCGCTGGGATAACGGGGGGAGGCCGGGTCAGGTGGAGGTAGGGGGGGAGAGGTGGAGGGGGTTCAAGGGATGGGTTTGGGATGGTCAAGGAATGGGTTTGGGATGGTCAAGGGATGGGTTTGGGATGGTCAAGGGATGGGTTTGGGATGGTCAAGGGATGGGTTTGGGGTGGTCAAGGGATGGGTTTGGGATGGTCAAGGAATGGGTTTGGGATGGTCAAGGGATGGGTTTGGGGTGGTCAAGGGATGGGTTTGGGATGGTCAAGGGATGGGTTTGGGATGGTCAAGGGATGGGCTTGGGGTGGGTCAAGGAATGGGTTTGGGATGGTCAAGGGATGGGTTTGGGATGGTCAAGGGATGGGTTTGGTATGGTCAAGGAATGGGTTTGGGATGGTCAAGGAATTTGTTTGGGATGGTCAAGGGATGGGTTTGGGGTGGTCAAGGGATGGGTTTGGGGTGGTCAAGGAATGGGTTTGGGATGGTCAAGGGATGGGTTTGGGGTGGTCAAGGGATGGGTTTGGGATGGTCAACTGATGGTCAAAGGGTGGGCTTGGAATGGTCAAGGGATGGTGAAAGGATGGCTGAGGGATGGCCAAAGGGTGGTCAAGGAATGGCCGAGGGGTTGGCAAGGAATGGCTGAGGTGGTGTTGGAGGAAGAAGTGAGGGATGGATCTGAGGAAGGACCAAGGGGTGGATGAAGAGGGCCCAAGGGGTGGATCTGTCAATCAATCGATCGATTCCTCACTCTATCGGTCACTATTGATCTGTTGGGGTGTCTGTCCATCTATCGGTCTATCAATGAATCCAATTGGTCAATCCCAGCTTCTGTTGACCAATCCATCCCTGGCTATTGCTTGCTATCAGTTCAGGCCCTTGCTGCTCCTCCCATTAGCAACCAATCATCAACCAATCACCAACCAATCATTCATCATCAATCGATCATCAATCAATCACCAATCACCAACCAATCATTAATCATCAATCATCTATCATCAATCATCAATCGATCCATCCCCTCCCCATCCCATCTCCCACCCCTCTCCATCAATCACACCCCCCCCTGGCACTGGGCTCCCATCTCTGCCCTCTCCCAGTGTCTGGCTCCATCCCTGTCCCTGTGTCCCCATGTCCTTCCCTTTACTCCTCCATCCTTCCCCCCCGGTCAATCAATGGATCAATCAATGGATCAATGGATCAATCAACGGATCAGTGAATGGATCAATGGATCAATGTTTCACACCCCCCTCATTGACTCCTCAACTGCTCCATCACCTCTAAGTGACTCTTCTATTTTTCCCCATCAATCATTGATTGATCATTGATCAATCTCCTGATCAGTCTCTGGCATCTCTATTGATCCATCCAGGTATCTATAACTGACAAACTGATCAATAACCTTTCCGTTGATCAATCATCCATTGATCCATTTATTGCTTTATCATCTGCCTATTGATCAATGGATCAGCATGTATCTCTCATTGAGCAGGCTATTGGCCTTTAATCAATTGATTGATTGACCTTTAATCTGCTGATCCATCTCTCATCCTCTCTGTATTGATCAAGAGAATCTATTGATCAATGACCTTCCTCTATCTATTGCCAGCCCTATTGGTCTCTATTGATCCATGTATCACCCTTCGTCTCTTGATTGAACAATCTCTTTAGTGTCTTTATTGATTGATCAGTTGAGGTTTAATCCTGCTATTGATCGATCAGATGAGGTTTAATCCTTCCATTGATCGATCAGCTGAAGTTTAATCCTGCCATTGATCGATCAGCTGAGGTTTAATCCTTCCATTGATTGATCAGCTGAGGTTTAATCCTGCCATTGATCGATCAGCTGAGGTTTAATCCTTCCATTGATTGATCAGCTGAGGTTTAACCTCCCATTGATTGATCAGCTGAGGTTTAACCTCCCATTGATCAGCCTTTCCCTCCACTGCTTGATCTATTGATCCCCATTGGCCTCTCTCCCAGCCACCACTCACCTTTCCGTTGCTCCCACTATCCCCGACCTTCTCCCAGCACCTGATCCCACTTCCCAGAGCCGTCTGCTGGCCCCTACTGCCCCATAGCCCGTCCCTGCCCCTGCCCTTCTCCCTGCTCCTATTTAAATCCACCTCCATTCCCGGTTAACGTTTGACTCCGTCAGGATCAGACCCCGCTATGGGTCACTGGAAACCATCATCCAGGCATGTCCAGCGGCTCCCTGGGGCATCACCATCCTCTCCCTCTGATCCCAGATGGATGGGACCCCCCCCCCCCCCGGCCCCTCTGGTTGCTGTCACCATCCAGGGTGGGGGGTGATTGATAGGGCCACATTCCTGAACCAGATCCTGGGAGCCCCTTGGACCGGAGGCAGTGGGAAGCAGTGGAACGTAACGGTATGGGTCAGTGAGCAGGGAAACGAGCCAGGAGAGGAGCTGGGATGGGTGGTGCTTGGGATGCCTGGATCCTGGTCACATGGATTTCTGGAAACCTGGGTCCTTGGGATACCCAAATGCCTGGCACCAGGACATCAGGGTATCAGGATGTCTGGGGGTCCAGATGCTTAGGTCCTTGGGATCCTTTGGTCCTTAGACATCTGGATTCCTGGGTCTTTGGGATGTCTGGACACCATCTGGATTCCTGGGATCGCTGGGCACCTGGATTCCTGGGTTCTTGGGACATCTGGGCATCCCAGTGCCTGGATTCCTGAGCATCATCCATCCATCCATCCATCCATCCATCCATCCATCCATCCTTCCATCCATTCATCGATCCATCGATCCATCATCCATCCATCGATCCATCATCCATCCATCATCCATCCATCTATCCATCCATCCATCCATCCATCCATCCTTCCATCCATTCATCGATCCATCGATCCATCATCCATCCATCGACCCATCATCCATCCATCATCCATCCATCCATCATCCATCATCCATCCATCCACCCATCCATCCATCATCCATCCATTTATCCATCCATCATCCATCCATCATCCATCTATCCATTCATCCATCCATCATCCATCCATTTATCCATCCATTATCCATCCATCATCCATCCATTATCCATCCATCATCCATCACCCATCCATCCATCATCCATCCATCTATTATCCATCCATCATCCATCACCCATCCATCCATCATCCATCCATTATCCATCCATCATCCATCACCCATCCATCCATCATCCATCCATCATCCATCCATCCATTCATCCATACATCATCCATCCGTCTATTTTGCATCCATCATCCATCACCCATCCACCCATCCATCCTCCATCATCCATCCATCCATCCATCCATCCGTCCGTCCATCCACCCATCACGAGGTCCCCACATGATCCAGAGGCCACAATGCCACCAGGAGAACCATGGAGGGGATGGATCCCACCCCAAAACTGCTCCTCACCATCCCCTCAGGCTTCTCACCCCAGCGGCACGTAGCCCAGCCACCTCTGGGTTGGAGTTAATGTTTGAGTCAATGGTTGGGTCAATTATTGGGTCTATGGTTTGGTCAATGGGTGGGTTAATGGGTGGGTCAATGGGTGGGTTGATGATTGGGTTAATGGCTGGGTCTATGGTTGGGTTAATGGGTAGGTCAATGGTTGGGTTAATGGTTGGGTCAATGGGTGGGTTGATGATTGGGTTAATGGTTGGGTCTATGGTTGCGTTAATGATTGGGTCTATGGCTGGGTCAATGCTCGGGTCAATGGGTGGGTTAACGGTTGGGTTAATGGGTGAGTCAGTGGGTGGGTGAATGGATGGGTTAATGGGTGGATCAATGGTTGGGTTAATGGGTGGGTCTATGGGTGTGTCAATGGGTGGGTCAATGGTTGGGTCAATGGGTGTGTCAATGGGTAGGTCAATGGGTGTGTCAATGCGTGGGTCAATGGGTGGGTTAAGGGGCGGGTCAATGGGTGGGACAATGGGTGGGTTAACGGGTGGGTCAATGGGTGGGTCAACGGATGGGTCAACGGGTGGGTTAATGGGTGGGTCAATGGGTGGGTCAATGGTGGGTTAATGGGTGGGTCAATGGGTGGGTTAACGGGTGAGTTAATGGGTGGGTCAACGGGTGGGTTAATGGGTGGGTTAACGGGTGGGTCAGTGGGTGGGTCAATGGGTGGGTCAATGGGTGGGTTAATGGGTGCGTCAATGGGTGGGTTAACGGGTGGGTCAATGGGTGGGTCAATGGGTAGGTTAATGGTTGGGTCAATGGGTGGGTTAATGGTTGGGTCAACGGGTGGGTCAATGGGTGGGTCAATGGTTGACATCTGGAGTGGGGTTTTGGGATGGCTTCCAGAAGACTCCAGAGGACAAAGTGCAGGCAGGGAGAGGACAAAGGTGGTCGAGGGGGACACTGGGGCCACCAAGCACCACCAAAAGGGTATCTAGAACCTAATCCATCGGCAGAACATCCCACCACTCATGAGGACCCCAAAGAACCACCCAAAATGGGGCAGGATTGGGACAAACCTTCGTTGGGTTTGTTCTTCTGCAGGGTCGCGTTGTGGAGGGGGAGAAGCAGCTTTTGGAGAGGACCCAACCTTCAAGTGGGTGCCTTGAAGGAGATGGGGGGGGGGGGGAGCTGCTTGTGTTGGCCATGGGGTGACCTCCATTGGGTTAATGTTCAGCCAGGGCTGTGGGCAGGAGGTGGCCCCGGCATGGGTCAGCGCGTGGGCACTGGCTTAATCTTTGATGGGCTCAACCCAAGCAAGGCTTTGGTGGGGCCAAGGGACACATTGGAGATGGGAGCAAGGGCCAGTGGGGGGCAATAGGGGAAGGGGCACCATGGGGGTGGCTGGAGGGGGGTGGTGGCACTCGAGAGGTCTGAGAACTTCTCAAGGGGTTGGGGACCCTCGAATGGGACAAGAGTTGGGGGGGTTTGGGGCTCTTGGGTGTTGAATTGATGGAGGTGATCTCCAATGTGGTGGTGGTGAGCAGGAGGGACGTGGTTCTTGGGCATTGTCCTGTTGGAGGTGGCCTCAGGGACAC